GTTCCTTGTTATTTCATATTTGGCGATTCCTTGGTTGATAGTGGCAATAATAATGGACTGTCTACAAGTGCAAGAGTCAAGTATCCACCTTACGGGATTGATTTTCCTGCTGGCCCCACAGGAAGGTTCACTAATGGAAAAACCGTCGCAGATATAATCAGTAGGCTTTGCCTGTTTCTGTTACCAGTTTGCATATATATATATATATAGATGGTTTATAGGTATATGGCGCTAATATTTTTCTATGTTTTATTCCTGTAAATAATGTTTAGCCGAGCTTTTGGGTTTGAAAGATTATATTCAACCATTTGCCACAGTTACAGAATCAGAAATAATCAATGGTGTGAATTATGCATCTGGCTCCTCAGGAATTCGTGATGAGGCTGGACGTAATTTGGTAATAAACATTTTTTCTTATTGGAGAAGGGTTATATGTACTAATCGATGATCATATGATATATGATCTTTGCAGGGTACTCATGTTGGCTTCAATCAGCAATTAAACAACCACAAGATTACAATATCAAGCTTGACTAAAACTCTAAAAGATTCAACTGCAGCTCACCTTAATAAATGCCTATATACTGTTGGAATGGGCAGCAATGATTATATAAACGACTACTTTCTGCCTCGCTCCGCAACAAGCACTCAGTATACTCCTGATCAGTTTGCAGGTGTTCTTATCGATCAATATTCTAAGCAAATCAGGGTGAGCTTTTCCAAGTTTTCAGCATATATATTTATTTCTTTTTTGAAAACATTCTGATGCATCGTCAAATTTGAGACCCTTATCTTTACTGTTTCTCTAGACGTTGCACGATGCTGGTGCAAGAAAGATTGCCTTGTTTGGTTTAGGAGCAATTAGCTGCACTCCAAATTCAATTGTTTTATTTGGCAAGAATGGTACATGTGCAGAGAGAATTACTGGTGCAGTTCAGCTTTTTAATGTCAGGCTAAAATCTCTTGTTGATCAACTCAATAAAGAATTAACCGATTCGAAAGTTATTTATATCAATTCTACTGGAACGTTAGGAAGATATCCTAATAAGCTTGGTATGTGGTCGAGAATCTCCAATATTGTTGCTTTTGTTACTGTTAGCCATTGATTCCTATGCAAATCCTATGCTCTGTGACTCGCAGGTTTCAAGGTCTTCAAATCTAGCTGCTGTCGAGTTAACAATGTTGGTCTCTGTAATCCAAGCTCAACTGCATGTCCTAATAGAAACGAGTTCATATTCTGGGATGGTTTCCATCCTACAGAGGCTATGAATAAACTAACAGCAGCAAGGGCGTTCCATGCTGCTGACCCTTCTGATGCTTATCCGTTTGGTATCAACCAGCTAGTTCTTTAATATTTTGTGAGGATGTAGTTCGTTTATTATTATATGCTATGAGGTCAGAAGCGGCAAACTGATATTTATATTATGCCATTAAATGCTCAAGATTTTATATCTGTACCATCTAACTAGCAGTCCAAAATCTCTGTGGACTGCAAACTTAGATAATTGTATACGTATTTAATTTTTCATTATTATTTACTATAAAGTATTTTTTGTTTTATGATTGTTTTGAGCATCATCATCCCCAAATGGAATGCCTATGGTCCCGAATTTCATCCAAGATGAAAAGGATCTCATATTCCACATTCTTCAGTCTAGTATGCAACCGCCTTGCTCTTCCTCGTTCACTTTTCTAATCAAGTTTCAAGCCCAGCATGTCTGCTATCTGTTGCTGAATGTTTTCCTCTTTAACAGTCTGTGACACTATAGCCATCACAACAGCATCAAAGAGATTCTCTTCTTTATCCCTTCTCTCAATTTTATGAGTGCCATTATAGCCACTCTAGTGCTTTCAAAAATAACAATATCTTGAGACTTGGACACTGTCTCTAGGGGAGCTGCAGGCTTGGAAACATTATTGGGCTTCCCATCTTCTTTTAGCCTTGCAATTGCTGTTGTTTTCTTGCCTGATTCTCTGCTTAGCCAATAGCGTGAAGCCAAATCAAGAACTCGTTTCATTCATGCTAAACAAAATCATGCAAAATGATTATAGGGAAAGCACTTTATTCTGCCTTTTGAGAGCTAAGATCTAAACCGTAAGAATTGAATACATAAGAAAGCTTGATTACGCTAACTAACAAAGTAAACCAAATAACATATTCTGATTCAAAAACGCACAGGGACATGATGTTCTCATCTAATCTTATGTGCACCAATCTATACAGTAGTATCTACCGAATTCCACTTTATCCAAAGGGTTTTGGTATCAAGTGTTGGCATTTGCTTGTTGTCTCGAGATTAAAAGAGACGAAGATAATGAACACAGAAAGAACATGTCCCCTGTCTTCTCGTTTTTGAAAAGACAAATTCATTCTAAAAAAACCCCATAATAATTTACGGGACATTAATTTCCACAGCCTTACAATATGGAAAACAGTACAAGTAAAGCAGAATATTACATTGCTTATGCAACACAAGAAGTTGATATATCACAGCTGATGGATCAGAATACTCACAGAACTAGTTGAGATTTTATTCTGCCAAAGCTTAAATGTTGATCACAGTGCTAAAAATTCCGATTCCAGTGAAACTAGGAATTAAAAGATTCAATGAAAATGGCATGAGGATAAAGAAAACAACGACAAGTACGGATTACAGAACAAATATAACAAATCAATCTGTTAGCATTAACCAAGCCAAGCCATGGAACATTTTCTCGATGCCTCGGAATATTTTCACGCGCAAGCATGAAAAACAAATTACAAAGACTAATCACAAATCAAATCAAATCAAATAAAAAAAAGAAGAAGAACGAAGTAAGAAGAAAAGGAAATTGAGGGACCAAAACGTGAGAATTTTAGGGGGGAAAAACAACAAAGGGAAATACGGTTTGAATGAACAAACCAAATTGTTAATTGCACTTGTAAGGTTAGGAGTCAAACCAAATTGTGAACATAAGGAGGTTGAGCAATAATATTTTTTAAGACAATAAAGATATACTTAGTCTTAGTATTTAAGAACTAAATTAAAAATATCATTAGTCATAAAATCGAAAACAGAAGTAAACGAGGAGTGGCGTTTTTGTTTTTTTAATGCATTTTAAAAACACAGCTAATTATTTCTTATAACTAATCCAAATATTATTGTTTTTAAAGCACAATTAATACACTAATTAAACAAATGCTTGATGGGCACGACTCCTCTTCTTAAACATTATTATCCTTGAAAGAAAATGTTTTGATAGAAGCTAGATAACATGAGAAGCATTATCCACGCAACACGTGATCCACTGACAGATTCCACGAGGTCTTAAAAAAGAAAGAATCATGTAGAAAAAACTTGCAAGATAAGCTTTGAAGTTGCAGTCTAGAGAGGGACATGCAGTCTTAGATGCATTACTCTCGGTGTAGTTTTAAAACTTGACCGTAGCTTGACTCAGGATTTGGCTGATTTAGAATTTAAATCAGGTTGTGTTAAAGAAAAAACAAAAAGAAAATTGGTGTGATCGGGATGAGCTAATAGATTGACTCAGTAATTCAGTTGACCTGATAAAATCTGATTATAATTTATTAATTTTTAGTTTTTTTATTAAAATAATATCATTTTAATTTAAAAAATTGACCCATATAACCTGATAATCCAGTCAATATCTAGAATTCAAGTCTTGATTTAGATGAAGTCTAAAAACTATAGTTGTTGGTATAAAACACTACATGATTAAAGATATAGTTGTTGATTTGATAAATTTATAATTCAAAACTAATTTAAGAGGTGTTTTGAGTTAAATTAAAAACTATTTATTTTATAAAATCTAATTACTCTGATTAGATTTTTTATTAGATTTTTAATTATTTAGTTGAATATCAAAACTCAATTCAAATCTAATCAAATCAATAACTAAAAAATTATATAAAACAAACCGTTGTTTTTAATGATATGCGTTCACATCTACCTATACTAGACCCTTTAATAGATATTATTTTATTAGAATCACATAGTGAATTTTATCTTTTTAAAAGACATCTCTTAGAGAGACAAGTGTCTTTTGTGCTTACAAGCACACTCCTAGTGCCTTGCCAAATCGTTATCATCATAGCCTTTCAGGAAAGGGCTTGGATAGTCACACATGGATAGCTTTCTCACAATCAATGTCAATGATAATATGTGTTCACAACTACACTTGCTAGGCTATTTAAAATGCATTGTCTCACTTGAACAACATAATGAATTTTGTTTTTCTAGAAGATTTTTTACACTTGTAAGCAATTAAGATCTTCATCTTTTAAGAGATATGGGGTTGGTGACATTTTAATAGAAATAATTGATCCAAGTTGACTCTGTGATGACAATAAATAACCCTTGCTTTTCTTTTCTTTTAATCAAACCCTAAACTGGATTAAACACCCATGATTATGGGCTAATGGGTCTTGCTAATCTTAGGTGAAACGTCTATTTTTGGACCAGAAAAGAATATATGGAGTATGATTCGGGATAAGACTTGGGCATGTTGAATGATCAACACAAGGACACCAACCTGAATTTTTATCTTGACCATCATGCGATTCCAGTCTAGACCCACCACTCCTTGATAGGAACAGAGATTTCTCTTTCGAAACCCATCCTCTCTTCTTCTTTTTTCTTCTTCTTCCCAGACAGGATAAGAGCTTTGATTCTGTAGAAGTGCTGTGCTGTGTGTTCTAAAAGGAGAGGTATAACAAGGAACAGAATATTAGAACAATTTGTCTGCCTCTGATGCTCAATCATAATTTATGTTTCCAGTACTTGCAAGCTTGTAATGGTTGAGATCAGAAGCTCTGTTATTTGGGATGTTGTAGCTATCCTGCATGTTTTAAATATATTATTTATTTCCGAACTTTGCATTTACCAAAAACATAGAATTCTCAACGATTCTTCCGAAATGATTAGAAAAAAAAAATGTTAATCTTTCAGTATGTCAAAATGTATTTTAAAACCGCTGATAAAAAAATCATTTTAAATTGACAAATTAGCTAATTATAGGATGAATATAAAAATTATAGTTTAATTATTTTTTAAAAATAGAGTTTACATCCTAGATGATCTTATAGTTTATAGTCCATTTCACACTCACCAATGACACCATGAGTATAAAAATGATTAAACTATAGAATAGTAATGATAATTTTTCCTAATAACAACACTTAAATTACAATTTTGAAGGTAAATCAAGAAAAATGATAAAGATTTTAACCCATGACCTCCGGACACTATTTTTTTTATTTTTTATTTTAGCAAAACGTCTTCATTTTGAGTCATGAAATCCCTCGAGAGCATCTCATTATGCAAGGACAATTTGTCTTGATCCGACACTTAATTTCAATGGTAAAACATTTCAATGATCTGGCAAAGACATTTCCATGATGCTTTCCCACTAGAAGTTTCAACAAATCTATGGCATCAATCAAGAACGACTCTTCCAAATTGGCTTGCCAAGATCTCTAGCCCATGACAATTCATGGAACCTGTCTAAAACGTTATTTATCCACGTTTCTTTTATTGCAAGAAGGTTCCAATTTTTGGTTAGGACAGAGACATATCAACTATGATATCTTATATTCAAAGAAATTAGCATCTAGTTTTTCATTCAACAAATAAAAACATTGAAATCCCGTTTAATAATTAACAAAAAAATAAAAACAATTTGGTATGGTGCCCTCCTCCCCAAAAAAAAACAATTTGGTATGGTGCCCTCCTCCCCTTCCATGTCCCATCGCCCCACCATGCCTTGAAAGAGCTTTGAATAAAGCTGGACGATGGATAAAGATAAAGATAGATTAGCAACTAGGTCCAGCTCGTGCAATGACTAAAAAGTCACTGTTATCCTTAACTAAATAACTCCAAGACAGATCAGAACAAGGCTAGATTCGTCTTTAAAATTTGGAAGCCCCACTTTTCCTCGCAGAAAAATCCATGGTGTCCATGGCAAACGCATCCATCTTCTTGCATTATCTTCTCTTTCAAAATAAAAAAAATAAAAAAATAAAAATAATGGTGATAATAATAAGAAGAATTGCATTAAAGATAAAGTTTTTTTTATTTAAAAACTATGATAAAGTGGAGAACAAAAACAAAATGAAACCCTAAACTAAATTTAAGGTAAAAAAGTAATGATATTATTGATCATTTTCATCATCGTTATCTTCTTCTTCTTCTTCTTGTAGATCTGAAAGAGAGAAGCAACTTTGAGACTTCAAACCAAACTTATTAAGCCTCTTCTCTTGCAATTTTCTTGCTATGATGCCTTGCGTCAGTGATGGGTTTTCTTCGCTATCTTCGTCCTGTGCTCCTCCTAATCCCTTGTTAGGATCTTCATCATCATCATCTTCTTCTTCATGCATAGTGAGGAGTGGCATGGATTTTGGATTTGACCAACTGTAAAAAGATTTCCTTGACCATTTATTTGCCATTAAAATTCTCCTCCTTTTGTTAAATGGATTCTCTGGCTTCTCCAATTCCTTCACTGTGTTTACTGTATTCACTTCTGCTAAATTTGTAAATGACTTCGATTTCCCCGTAAAATGATTTGATAATCCCCTCCTAAACACAAACAAAACAAAGAAATAATCCCATATTAGGGAGAGAAAAAATCAACTAAAAAAAATAAAAATTAGAAGTTATATACAAATCAAGTTTTCTTGAAAATAAATAGAAACGAAGAGTTATTAATTACTTAATGGGAAGAGCATCTTCCATAGAATTCAAGGAATCCAAAGCGTTATTCGACGAAACAACACCGTCTTCTTCATCTTCATCACTATCATCAGGAGCTCCGATTGACGACGAACTATCAGATAAATCATCCGGGTGAGAACCGGAGCCGGCACGGCTCGAGATCGGACTCTCATCACCGTCACCATCTTTCAAGAACAAGAACGGCGGCGCCACCCCCACCTGGTGCTTCTCTTGCGGCGGTGGAGCTACAACGTACGTCGACCCAGTTGAGGAAACGTCTCCGCCGATGCTAAAAGTGGGTCCCACCAAAACTTCCATGATTTTGTGGTTTCAGCAAATCACAGACTGCAAAGATCAATTGATGGTAAGAGAAACGGGAAAACGATAAGGTTTTGACCGCTTTAGCCTTCACCCCTCCGTCGTCTTCGCCTTCTCTTCTTTGGTTTCCAGACGGGGTTTGTTGTCATGTAAGAATTGGTAAAGGCTAAGGGGTAAGAACGGCGTGCAGGATAGGGTGGGGGAGGGTGAAGGTTAAGGAGAGAGAAAAGGAAGATCGCAAACTTAATAAAAATCAAGACTTCTTTATGTTTTTTGGAGCATGGAGAGAGAGAGGGAGGCAAGGGCGAGTGGATATATATGCACACAAGTGTCTTTAGATTTACGTATAAGTTTATTATGGAGATTTACTTGGTCCCTCCTTTTTTGTTTTTTGTTCACTTTGATCCTAATACTCTTGTTTTTACCATTGTATTCTTATGTCAATTGTTGGTAAATATAAACTCTTTATAATTTTCACTTTAACTGCATCCTCAACTACTATTTCCCAGATATGTAGAATATTGTTGAATCGCAATTACCGTTAGCTCATCTAAAAACTTTAATGTTGTAAAATTCTTAATTTGTATCCACATATTTAATTTTATTATATCCGTATCATATTTGTTATTTATCAGGTAAAATAATTAATATATATATATATATATTTATTTATTTATTTTAATTATTTTTTTATTTTTTTATATTTTAGATTTGATCTATTTATTTATTTTTTTATATTTTAGATTTGATCTTTATTTTTCATTATAATTTTTTATTTTTATCATTCTCTCAATTGAATTATCTTTTCAATTTTACCTCTCGATATTTTATTTTATTTTATTTTATGTCATATTTTATTGTTATTTTTTGAATTGCTAATTATTTTATTTTTAATTTTTTTTATAATTTTATTTTTCAAGTTTATTCCTTAACATTTTATTAATCAAGATTTTGTTAACATACTTCATGATTTTTTTGAGCTTGTCTTCTGTCTAACCTCAAAATCCAAGTTATAAGTTTAAAAAATTAGTTTGGGTTAGTTCAAGTATTTTTTTTCAGGTTTTTTTTTATAATTAATTTTTTATAATGTCATCCTTCTATAGAGTTATTTTAATCATACATAAAAGGTCATGAGTTTCGTGAGTTTACCTATATTAATTGAGGTTAAATTATTTTTTAATTTATTTGTTATTGATATTTTTTTTATAATTATATTATTAAATTTATTAGGATAATTTAATCCAATAAAATCAAAAACATGAATCTTGAATTTCCCTTACTTCTTTATAAACACTACCATCACCTGAATATTTTTTTCATGTTAAAAAATTATTTGATCTAGCCATGAGATATCCATTTAATTAATATCTAACAAGAAATTAATGATGGTTATAAGATAAAATAATATATATATATATGTATATATAATTTTTTTTCAAGAATACAACGTTTAATGATTGAAAATTAATTGATCTTTCTGCTAATTATTTTAAAACACCATTACCAACAGCGGAATAAAAAAAAAGGCTTTGTATCAGATTATTGTTTATAAAAGAAGGGGACAATACTAGGATACAAATAAGATTGAAGATATATCTTATTGTCAAGTGATTAATAATGTTATAATCTAAAGCCAATAATGATGATTTTTTACAGCAATTTACAGAATAATCACATAAAAAATGTGCTTAGAATCTTAAAAGGATGGTATTAAAATAAAAAAATAAGAAGAATAAGACCAAAGTGAGACAAAATCAAGAATAGATGGACCAAACGGGACTGCTGGTATGGAGAATTATATGTACGTACATGGGATAAGTGATAGTATATGTTATGAGAGAGAAATACTAATGTCTGCCGGCAAAGGCGAAGGCTTGACACGTACTTGATGACGTGGCATGGACACTGACCAGAGCCCATACATCCTCTCTCTCCGATGAAAGCTTTCTTATTTTTTCTAGTTCATTTTTTATATTTTCTCAATCGACTCGAAGATACTTTTTATTATACAAATTAATTAATTTCTTTGGAGTTTAATATATATATATATATATATATATATATATAAAACTCCAATTTTTTTTGTTTGTCTTTGTAGTTTTATATATATATATATATATATATATATATATTAAACTCCAAAGAAGATTCAAACCAAAAAGATCTAATTAAACCACTGTTAAAATAATAAAGCCAGTAATAGGAAGATTAAACAATGGATTAGCCAACTAACAAAGTGACTAATCCCCTTGAATGGAATCATTGATACGTGGGCTGCACCCATAATTTGTACGGGTCGAATATTCTTCATGGATAATCCAGTTGTTGATGCAGATTAATCATGTTGCCTCTATTTTATGGTAAGAAAATGCCAATTTGCATGCTAAGAGAGCTTAAAGGCATGTTAATTATTTGATTACTGTATTTGTTTAAGCTTTAGGATCCACACATGCCAATGAGCACCATTTGACAAGTAATGCCAATGAGATTTTTGCTTGTTGGTCGACTTTTCTTCATTGGCCGACAAATATTCTAATATCTTTTATTCATAAATAAAAAAATAAACTGTGTACATTTTCTATGCTTTTGATGTATTGGCTCAAGTAATAAGGGGGTTGTTTCAAGTTTTTAAAGATCTGAAAAAAGGTTTAAAATTACTTTGTTTTTCCTTAAAAAAAATCAAATTCAGACTTTAACTGATTATTTTAAGGTTTAATTCATATTAATTTAAAATAATATTTTTAAAAAAATTTAAAAATTATTTTAATATAATAAATTAATCGTTTTAAATTAATTAATTTTTATCCAATTTAATTTAAAACTCCGTTAAAACTAAAGATTAAGCTGATCGGGTTTTGCAAAGAAAGGAGGGATTCAAGTTTTAAAAAGAGATGACGGAAACAAGCTATTATGAATATATAATGAAGGCTCGAAGAATCTGCATGAAACTCAGTGAAAATAAATTTTAATTATATAATGATCGTAAAAGGTATTGAAAGGAGGAGGATGAATAATTTAATGAACTCTTATAGGAGGAAACAAGGTCAATGGCAGGGATGCCCAATGGTGGCTCTAGTCCTGCTCCTAGCCATTTGCAGACTTACCTTATCTCTTCAGATAATCTAATTAATTAATTGATGAAAACCAGGCTGTATCTTGGGTGCTCGAAAACGAAGAGGGATCATTTGCTTGAAAGAACAATATTCCAAGGTGGGACCGGACAACTAGCCCACTAATCCATGTCCCTTGTTTTATATATTTTATGGGCAGATTTTCTGATTCCTTTTGTTGTAATAACTTTGAGTTTGATTACGTCCAATGATTCTTTGTTTCCTCTCTTTTGTTTTTTGTTTTTTTTTTTTATAAAGGATATATAGTGATGATTCAAAGTGCAAAGAAAAATGAATCGGTGTAAATTTGACAATAATGGTAATGCCATGATCAAATCTCAAGTTGGAGCTTGAGGAGAATGTTCATGGCTATCTCCAATTTCAAATCAATTCATCAAGTTGCGTCAAGATTTCTGTCCACATGCATTAACTAACGTTCCAAGTCAATTAAGCCACTCATCGATTTATAACATGATTCATGGCTGTGGTTCTTATATCAAACGTTTGATCTCTTTTTTACAAAAATAAAATAAAATGTGGTTTTTGTAAATTATTATTTAACTTTTATTTATATTCTCCTAGATACTTAATTTAAGTAATCAGCTTATGAAAACATAATATATAATTTATTATCTCATGTTGGGTTTGATATACATAAATGGATAGATATTGTTATATTATTATAGTTTATGACTTGTAATTAGATGCCAAAAAAAGGGTGATAGAAAGAGGGCTGATTACTTCTTGTTTTATTGTTACAGATGATTACTAGGTTAGATGTCATGGGGTCAATTTTTCATTTCAAAAACAGACCTCGCACAACAATTTAGTCTCGCTAGACTTAACCTTTCTCTTACCTATTTACTCGTGTTTTGCCTACAACTAATTTATCCTACAAACCCAATAAATCCCTACACTTTTTCTATGTTACAAGTAAGGAATAATACAAAAGAATATGAACAAAATATATAACACAATAGATTACAGAAACAAGTCCCAATCTTTTCATTGACTCAATTAAAGGATTACACAAAATTTGTCTTGTGTGCTATGCACATTTCCATTCTGCATGCTACACATTTTACAACCTATCTATTTACAAGATAATGAAAATTACAAGTAGAAACTACCCCGAACTTCCTGCATCGCTGGAGCACCTATTATTCCATGTTCTAGCCACTTTCTTTCCCATATAAGAAATTGCTGCAACTGCTGATAACTGCTCCCAAAATTGTTGCAACTGCATTGGCATATTCTCCCACAAGCCAACTGTCCACTGCCAGCGAAACAGCCTCACATGCCTTGGACCGTCCACTGTCCAAGTTATCATCAGCCTCAGTTGTCAATTTTGTCAATGCTGCCAAATTCCATTGACATTGCCGATCTCATCAGTGCTGTTGAATTCCCCACTATCTCATTGTATCATCCTAGCGCTGTTTCGTCAAGCCTTGGACATTCTATCGCTCAAGTCCCCAACTCTCGTCAGCATACTACTGCGCTAGCTGTTGTGTGTTGCCGCACACACGCACTATCGATTTTCGCTATTGTCACACGAGCTGTCACCTCGTAATTACTATCCATCGATGCTTTTTGTCAGCCTATACCCTAACGGATTTTAACCCTGTGACATTAGGCATATAAGGGCAACCCACCGTAATATGGTAAAGGGATGTTAGGAAAAATTATTAATATTTCTTGGATAGTTTAGTGTATATTGTAAATACATAACATGTAACTCTATTTTGATATAATAACAAATAAAAGCTTCTCATTCATGTGGATATAAACACATTATCAAGTGATGTTAAATCCTATGTTTTTTTTTAATAATTGCTGCAGGTTTTTCATAATAGATTCATAATAGATATATTGAATCTTGTAATCAATAATTAAACAAGTAACGGGTTGGTGTAGGATTGGAGAGACCGTATCACAATAAAGATTAAATTACATGCTATTATAAAGTTGAGAGATTATATATCGTAACATTTTAATGTGATGATTTTTGGGTTTTTTTTAACTCAAATGAGTTTACTATCACTAGATCTATTGACAATCAAATGAATAATTAAAAACATTAATTAAACATGATGTGATTGGAAGAGAGTTTAGTCTTCATACCATATATATATCGTTGTAGCCAAACACATAAAATGTGTGCTAGATGTGAGAAAAGGTA